CATCCTGTATAAACTTCAACCTTCTTCGGAAGATGTTATGCCCCATCCTTTGGAAGATTATATATATATATGTATGTATGTATAAAGAACTTACCCTGCAGTCTCTACTTTGGTCGGACTTCAGTGACATTTCACTCGATGGATAAAGGTCAATCCAGGATGACAATCTTCGGCAATCTTTTCCGTAAAGAAAAGCAATCAACAAATTGTGACATGATTTTGTGTTTCATTGAATGTAGGTCCGCCAAAAATATGTTGTTTTACGGTGGACGGCTTGCCTCCAGAAATAAGCTGGCAGCTGTAGTTCTGGCTCTCTCTGGAATGGACTAACGCGCTGAAGACTACTCTCCACAGTGAACAAAAGTTTTCTTCTGGGGCAAAATTACATCACAACACGGTGGTGCACGATGTGCTGGTTTTAGTCACCGGACTTACCTTTTGTCAAGGATACTTACTACCAGATTATGTGTTTTCCTCAAAAGAGATTATCCGTAGGACCTAGTCATTGGGATTTCTTCCAGTCGGGCCCATTCGTAGAGCCGATTACATATCCAGTTGTATGTGGAAGTTGAACCAGTATTTCAAGAACTCTGTTTTATGATTCATCTGGACTACAATTGTCACACAACGAGCAGAAAAAGTGGAGTGCTACGGATTACCTAGATGCCCAATTTTTTAAGAGATCGCATCTAGTAAATCAGGTGTTGTGTGAATTATCCGCTTTTACCCTCTTTTACTGGAGACCTTTACTGCTTAACCTTCCTTTTAACTCTCTGGATGGTCGTTTTCAGATTAAGCCGTATGTAAAAACATCATCCACACTATATCAGTGAATCAAAAAAGTCACGATAAACCAGGTCAAAGACCATAACTGAGGTTCGACACACCTATTAGTGCATAGGTGAGGATAGCCATGATACAACTCAGAAGGTGTATGCACTAATAAAAGATTTTTTTGCATGGTTGACAGTGGTGGGTTGCGACACGTATAAAAATAAATACAATGCGAAATGGGAGCAAGTCCAAAAGGGAACATGTCGTATGTGAGAGTTCCTTGGTGAAAGTCCGAACAGCGGGAACGTGTTTCCTTCGCAGTTTGGCTGACTCCTTGCTCCCTGCGCGCGCGAGCCTGTGTGTGTGTGTGTGCTGACTGTGTTCGGTTGCCCTATATCTAAGTCCGTTTGCGTATATGTGGGCGCGTCAGCACATGGGTGGTTGCTACGCTCACTAGACAGTGCAGACAATGGACGTCTGATGAGTCACCTTAATGTGACGTGGTTGCGGTCATGAAAAAGAGACGAGTCTCGTGATCCAGTGAGCGACGCTGAGATGAACAGTCAAGTATGTGGGTGACTGGGTAGCCACACACCTCATCAATAGGAGGAGCAGCTTCCAACTCCTCACCATGTCTACCAATGAAAGGAAGAGTAAAATTTGTGAACTGAATGGATCTGGCCTGGATTAATGGAACCTTGGCGTTTTCGTACTCTTGAATTATGACGAAACCTGATTGTATTGGTATCAAATAGAGAAGCTACTTTGTTGCTAATCACAAAATGAATTTGTCAGTTGAAACTTGAGCACCATGTGACCGTCAGATCTATTAACACTTCGAATGTTTAAATTTGCATGGCGCATTGAAATTTCAAGGTTATTTCGATGCATTGATTATGCTTACTAGGGGGAATCAAAGACAAGCGAATGGAACGCATTTTCTGCAGATGTGGTCCCAGGAAAAGCGCTTGAAAACACCCTTTTAAAAGAATTTGTGGCCTCCACCGTGATAATTGTTAAAGGCATAACATCAGCCACGAAGCGGAGCTCCATGTCCTTTCGACTGGGACCAAAGATTATCATTTACCTTCCGGTGGACTAGAACGACCCGATATTTTCACCCAAGGTTGAGTTACCCTCCACTAAAAGATAAAATTTCGTCAAACCCTGAGGTGACAATGCCTTAAAATATCCTTAGCGTTAACTACAAAGGAGCAACGAACTGTCTTTAAGCTTTGTTACATATCGCCTCATTTAGATCAGGTCAGAGAACTATAATCAATGTACAAATATACATTGATTTCAGATGTCAAGCGCATTAGTTATTACCAGGTACATGCGCGGGAGGTGAACAATCGAGCTAAACCAGACTTCGGAGCATTCCAAATGACGACAGCTAGAAAAAATCCGTTGACATGTTAAATGCTGTCTAGATTTGCTGACTTTCGTAAGAACCAGTGATTTCTTTCGGAACGTGGTCGAGATGAACTCTAAAAGTCCGTCAGAGCTGGACGTACTAACACATCAGTCTGATAATAGAATTCAACGGACCGCTCTAGAGAGGGCTCTTTAGGAATCTCACAAAATGACGCACATAAGGACTGTTATTGGACTGTAGGTTATTATAACCAGTAATCCGGAAAACGATAGCGGCACTCTAGGTGCTTCTCTATCATCGTTGATCGGATGAAACGTGGGGTATTTGTCTTGCCGTCCATTCGTCTTGTCATCCAGTTGCTGTCCAAATCCCTTTTGACAGAAATTATGCTCCACTGAAGACTCCTAAAATAAGCAAAGCTTGAATCGTGCACTTTTCACTTCAATACCGATCACGCAAGGTCTCCTAGTTAGAACGAAAAGGATCTTTATGTACAGCGAACTGGAAGAACTAGACTCTAAGCTATACCTGATTTCATCTAGGTTCCCCGTTGGTCTTGACACTCAATCAGATCCCTAAGGCGACACTTTATACGGATTTAGACTAACCTAGCTCATTAGTTCGCCTTCCGCCTTAAATCTCGATTAACTTCACAATCTAGTCACTTGGCCTGGCGAAGCTGCTCAGCACTAAACCTACCGATTGTTCCTCAAGCCTCTTCAGAAAGTAGGACTTCTTAGATGTAAACACGGGTGGCATAAATGAAAACAATTTCACACTTAATAATTCGTGCTAAAAACTGCTCAGCACTAAACCTACCGATTGTTCCTCAAGCCTCTTCAGAAAGTAGGACTTCTTAGATGTAAACACGGGTGGCATAAATGAAAACAATTTCACACTTAATAATTCGTGCCAAAAAAGCTATCCGCAAATTTTTCAACCGAAATCTATCACTCCATTTCACCAATTCACCTTCGAATGCTGTGAATACAAGATTTTTAGAGAACTGTTGTTAAATCGAGTCAGTCAACTTGTGACGTCTGTTTACCTCCTTCTATTTCTCACTGCCCTATTGTTCGTCATCCCTGCTACAGCCAATCTGCATAGATCGTCACGCAACAAAGCCTCGATTTCGGCGATGAACCGTTCCGTTTACCTCCTTTATCTAACCATATTATGCATAAAATTGTAATTAATGTGTATGTGATTGCAGTGGAATTTGCAAAAAATGTACAGTAACCCGCTGGGTAATAAAACACGATGGAAAAAACATCTGTTTTCCTAACAATATAAGTTACAGGTGCTCTAACGCTGCAGAAGGTTTACGCGTTTAGGCCGCGGGCAATCGTGCGTCAAATCCCCGTCTGTAGGGGGTGCATCGGGTCTGGAGGAACAGTTTCGCTATCGCAGTGTCACTGCATCGAGTTCCAGAAAACATGTCCCCATCTGACGGTAATAACATCGCATCCACTGACAAGGTTCTCTTCACCGTAGCCCTAGAATGCTCGATGACTGCCATTTGGATTGAACTTGAAGTTGTTTGCATGTAGGATCCTAGTTTACTAACACTTGATGGGGAAGATCCGATCAAGTTGCCCAAACTTGAAGCTGTAAGCATGCAGAACCCTAGTTTACCAACGGTTGATGGGGAAGATCCGATCAAGTTGCCCAAGATATCTATAGCTCATTATCACGCCATCTGACTACCGTAATTCTGCACCACAGCTAAACTGCGAGTACGATGTGTACACAACTGAGCCCATCAGGTTACCGTAGACCGGGCATTCCGATCAGGCTCGGTAGCAACTCCTGGTTCTAACTCTTCACTCAGTGGAGTGAAATACCGTATTTTGGTCAGCACTTCCGATTTGAGAATGACGGATGTAAATATCAATTGACCAACGCAACACTTGACAGCACATTTGAATTCATCCATGTAAACATGTGTCTTCCTTTGAAAAAAATAACCTCACTGAGTCCATACTGCGCGCTGGCTAAAAGTGATCCAACCAGTAGATTGAACCTCGAAGTTTTACATCACTCCATATGAGTAGATACCAACATGTTGACCTTCCGATAAGAAAGCTTTGCTACAAGAGACAGAATGGTTTCTTATCCAGAGCTGAGCTGAAAGTATCCTACAGCAGTATCAGCCTTATTGAGGGTCCACTATGGAACTCACGACCGCACATTTTTCAATATGCGAATTTCACAGACAATCAACCATCAATAAACCATCAAGGTGGTATTGGATAACCTGGCGGCGTTCCATCTTTAGGATGGATATTCGTTGGTTGTAGATGGACAACTTACACATGTATATATATATATGCATATATAATATTATGTATATTTTATATCGATCATTTCCAATAAGGATAGAGTGGCTGTTCCTTGCTTCATGCCTTCTCAGAATACATTGGCTTAACTAGGAACACAAGCGTTCCGTTGAAGCTTCCTTGAAATTTTCACACTATGAGCAACGACAAAGAAGTGCTCATCTGGTGAGCTACACTCATTTGAACATGGAATGCGCCCGTAGCTGTAGCTAGAACTGGACCAGACAGCCGTATAATCGAAATCACTACTGTTAGATTTTGAGGCTACCGTTGAAAAAAACAGGGGTGTATATGTGAATTTTTGGCAATTTAAACGAAACCCGCGCACCTCACGCCAGCCAAGTACCCCTCCAACAGAGCCACGCAGAACTTGATATAACAAGTGTGTCTCCTAAGTATTCTACATAACAGTCAAACATTGATTGTTTTATCTCCGATCAACCTACTAGTTACTTCTCAGTGTATCAACTTATCAAACCCTATAAATAACCACCACATTTTAGAGGATTAGACTTCGCAGTGCTTAGTTTATCTCTCATCAAATGTAAATTCTTCAAGTCCGGTAGACTTAATTCTTCAGAAAACAGCTATGATTACCACTAATTCTGCGCAAATGTAGGATAAAAACAGGATTTTATTTGTTCTGTGGTTGATCTATTCATGAAGGCACGTTTCCGTATGACCTGCAAAGCAGGCTGCATAATTATCATTTGACAGTGCGTTACGTGTGGAAATTTAGGTAGGTTATCTGAATGCTTGAATACGCACTGTTTTTAGCTATTCTTCTCACGAGTAAGATAGACATGAATATCAAAACCGCTTCGGATGCACCACTGGGCGGACGCTACCAGCGGATAGCCATTCCTATGGGGTGACACCACCACCAACAAGTTACGCACGCATTTTGAACAAATACACTCATCTGCATATCAATTTGGTTTTCAACGAAAACTCACTCGAAACTCAGCTGAATCTTATGAGTAGAGTATCCACACATATTTGCATGCTCTCACGCACACACACGTTCGCTGCCGAATCCGAAAATTCCATCTATGGTGTCACCGCGATCCCTACACAAATTTGGGAATAGTTAACACCTCCGTCGATGAGCACAAATATCTATCCCGGGAGCGGAGCTTTCGTTTGAATGGTAAGCTTCATTCGCTTTATTTAAGTAAGGAAGCCGGCCTTCCCTGCAGAGTTATTTATTAGAAAATGCCAGCTGAAAAGTTACAGACTATTGGACAAGGAAGCAAAACTCTAATATACATCTTGTTCACAAAAACTGAATATCCATCTTCTCCTTGAACGCGTCTTCCTGAACTTACCTGGATATTGATTGACTATTGCACAAACTCAAGCAAATGCCGCGAAGCGATTCCACAAATTCCGCAACCGATCTCACTCTTCAAGAGACGCAAAGCGGATTTATGTAAAAACATACTACTCGCGTGCCTCACCTATCAGTGGTATCACCGTTAAATTACTATTTTACCAAAGACCGGATTACCCAAAATCTTGCTGAATGCTCTCCGACAGCCCGCAACCAGTTATGCCTATTTAGGGACTCATCGGTTAAGCACAGTCTCCGAGTTTCTACCAACTCATTTTCCAGTTGAGCAATAGAACTTACGGGTTTAGCGACATACACTCATTTGCAGACCGACTTAGTGTTTGCGAAAGGCACAGTTAAATCCAAGCTGAATCTCTCGTTCTCTACACACTTCGGTGAAAAATGCTGCAATCGGGGCCGCTTTGGTTGTCATTTGATACGATAATTGGGATACTGCCACAGTGCATTCCAGTGACACTGCAGCTATCTCCAAATTTCGCGCCTTTCCCGACAGGAAATTTATTTATTTATTTATCTGCTGATGTACTTTACGAATTTAACTATCTCTTTACTTTTCACCTCCTAACACAATGCTATCACTGGATAACCTAGGCACATATACTTTTTGTTATCTAAGCTTTTTGATGGGCTCTGTGACCGGCCTCGCCGGACTTTCCTCATGTCCCAAACGAGCAGCTTCGTTAACCTCGGTTTAATTACCGTTGACCCCCAGGTATGCGCCTTCGTCCGTCTATCACTTGTCTTTTGATTTTTGGTTGGAACGAAAGCTGCGTTACTCGGTTCATTCCCAAGCCCATATGTTGTGGTCCTGTCATTTCGTAGATTTGCTCGTCAACAGACAAACAGAATCCGAAAATTAGGAGCCGTAGAACATCTGCCAAGCATCTTTGTGATGCAAAATGCATGGAGGTAACTCGACCAACTTCCCTTGCTCCTCACACTTCATGCTTTTTTGTCGGATTCCTCATCGCATTCTAACACAGGCTGACAAAACCGCACATTCTACTTTCTCAGTTGTGGCTACGAAATCTGCAATTTATTCTCCAAGTAACGATTTCAGTAAGTTCTCGACGGCTTGGAAATTCAATTGTACAGCTTAAATAGTGTTCGACGGTTTGGAAGTTCAACTTTGCAGGTTTGTTCTTCCTGATGATACCTTGGGGGGACCAGTATCCCGGATTTCCCTCAGTAAGTAGAGCAACGCGCGCAGTCATTGATACTCTTGTGTCGACGTTTCTTGTTGATATGCATCGTGTTTTGGCGGCTACGTAAAGGTTCCTTCAGACAGTATTGATGTTTTGATGTTATCCGTTGGACGGCTTTGACAATAAAAACCATATCATTGTATAGTGGCTGTCGCTTGCCCTTCAATCCTTCTAAGATCTTTCAAACACGGTAGTGCTTCGGGGCCCAGTTTTTTACCACTACCACAAAGATTTGCTGGCGTTCAGGGGCACCAAACTGACAGACATGTTGAGAATTCCTGAAGCAACCTTTTGATAACATGACAAGTGCCCAAGAAATCTCCTTCGTTCATGAAGCAAGACAGACTTCTGATCAATTATTCACCTCTGTATGTTGAGTGGAACGGTTTTTTATCCTGGTGCAGGATACCAAATGTCACATCTGATCCGACGACATTCTCGAAAAATACGGATATCCCCACACGAAGTTTCAAATTAGATTCTTGAGTTGTTTGTGGGTTTCTGTGTGTTTCCGTCTAACACAGTAACATTGTACAACCATGCGCAGATTCGGCATCGGCTGTCTGCGCGATACATTACAACATGACTGAATCACTGAGAAGAACACAAGGTGTGATCTGAAATCCACAACCCACGGCGGACGCGATTTTTAACCTGTCTTGATCTTCAACATTCAGTCACTAGTGGCACAATGATAGGTTCACTCTAAGCAACCAAGTGGATCTGCCCAGAGGTTCGCAGGTAGCATTATTTTGTAGCAGGACAAAAGAACCTAACAACGTTACTTTGATTAGCCCTCTATAATCGACGAAAATTGCGTTTATCATTTTTTCCGGACCAGTACCGTTAAAGATCACCAAAGAGATTTAGAGTGATAAATCTTCTTGTTCCCCAGTAGTTACCTGTTCATATCCTGTGCTTCACGCTGGGGGCAACATGGCGAGGAACGGATATTGGTTACCTGCTTGGTATCAGTTCGATAGCGTGCTTCATTCGTGCGTCCGTCTTCGGTTTCCTCAAAGGCAAATAAAACCTAGGAGGGGCATCATCTTGCCTTTTGTTTTTTACATCCAAGGTTGAAAAGCAATTTTGGGTCATTTAAACAACGTTGTTCCATCTCAGGCTGATAAACATGAAAGGTCTATTGTCACTAATCTGTTTGTGCAAAGGAGTGAACCCTAAACTGAGATGTGGCTTCAAATCCCCTTACGTTACTATTCAGGTTACTTCAAGAACTCCTTGAGTCGTTTAAGGACGCGCTTTTTGGGCAGGCAAACTAACGACAACTGCCCAGAAAGTGGTTTGGTGACACAATTGATGTAAAAAAAATATTCGGTACGCCACAACTCTACATATTCCGCCTTAAGAATTGAACCGTTTGTTTTGAGGCTAGTTGACTCATAAGAGTCCAACTGTCTCGACCCGTTTACGTTCACCCTCAAGTTAAACAATATGATTCATTTTGTAGAAGAATATTCACGCGGTAAGAAACGAGACACCGATTGTTGATCAGGTGGCTGTTGATCCATTGGCATAGCTTGCCGGTAACTTTCAAACGTGGCTGGCTAACTGCTATATGCAAAATCACCCAGGTAAACACAAAGTACTCCACGTATGGTGACGAAACATCTGCAAGTCCGTTGCCAGCCTTGGTGAACAGATCAACAGTCACCTGATCAGTAACCAATACATGTAAGATATTTCAAGTAGCAGTGGGGAAATATGGTAGGATTACCTCGGGAATTTCACCTAGCGCTTACGTTTTTCATTTAACTTGCATTTCGTCATACCTACCTATCCTAGTGAACGTGTCTGACGTATTCCATATTAGTGTCAGGAAGGTCGGATTCCCGAAAATAACACCAGAATGACCGAAACCTACTTAGAACTTAAAAGTCCAATAAAATCTCAATTGGAAGCCGCAAGCGGCCATGTCAGTCAATCGTTCAATCAGTTCAGCAAAAGCCGATGACTGTTCAAGCACGCCACAGACGCACGACCGACTACGATTAGTGTTCAAGCATTTCATGGTAGCACCCACGATGTTGATGGGTGTTCAATAAGCGCCTTTCAGACGTCCTGAATCAATGTCAAAAGTGCCCTCAGAATAGCGCAAGGCGGTTGTAACGTTTGTATTCACACACACCCGCTTGTTCGCAATATAGCTGTTGTGTTTCTTATCGGCGAGTTCTTTCCTCGGCACTAGGCACTGGAGTGGAGACAACAGTCAGATATCACAGTTAAGTATGACTTGAAACATGGTGTTTCCAATAGACGGCTGGCACAGGACAAAAGCACCATAATTTTCAAAAATTCTTAGGATCTTTTCCTTTAAAACTTCAAACATGTCAATTTACGCGCTGCTTTACTCCAAAGTCTCGGAAATTTCATGGAGACTGTCCACTGCACCCATTAAATAGCTGCAAGTTTTACGCGCTAAAAACCAACCCCTCATAATACTTTCTGAGCATTTTATCAGCATTGCCACAGCCGAAAATCAAATTTGATCAAAGAAACAAAAAATTTTAGAAGGAAACTCCCCATCTTTGATATGCTGAGAGGGTTTGAGTCTGCCACACAAATGAAGAATTGGAGGTCATTCTTAGGCTGTAATTAATAATTGCGGTAATGATGTGTGACGCCCTAGCAACCAGAATGTTGCCTTCACTCCACAGCAGCTTAAAACAATGAAAGTTTTTAACCAGCACAAAACCAATTGTGGTACAGTTGCTGCTGCAAGTGCAAGTCGTGATCGAAGTGAAGTGCGGTCAGCTCAGCGGGTCGGCTAGTTCCAGTGGTATGGAACGTAAAGATTGACGATTTTCAGCGTATTTAAAGCAGAGAACCGAGGCGAGCAACGCTCCCAATAAATCCGCCCTCAAATTTGGAAAATCAGAACTGGGATGAAAAACGATCAGTAAAAGCTGACGAATTCGAGCACAGCGGACAAGAAAAGATAAAAAGGATGGTTTGGGTGAAGTTCCATTCAGTACAGTGTAAAAAACGGTGGGTGACGACAATTAATCTATGAAAGATCAAGAGCGCAGGCGGATTTCAGAAAAGGTTGGACGAAAGTCAGCGTGATGATCGCCCGCGCTCTGATTGGAGATTGGGGAAGTAAAGTGTCAGAATGACTGAGTTCCAAATCTTACACCCTAAGATACATACTAGATTTATTCTGGCGTCGGAAGAACGGTCTTAAAAATGACCTTATACGCTGGAAAATGCACGAGAAATTAGACTATCTCCCCGATGTTTTGGGGAAAGAACATCGCAAAAGCACCGTAATATGATCAGTTGTAGATTACAGCACAATGAACCTTCAGGAAAACTTGAGAAATTGATCGCCCAGAACACTCGACTCAGGATGAATAGGCGCTAATCTTCTGGGCCCTGGATTCGCTGTTCCGCCGCCATCCGGAATATTGTTGTTCCCCACGGAAAGTTCCTTTTTTACTTTCGTTGAAACCGGGTAGATCTAGCTATCTACATCTTGCCTGGGCGATCAGCCAGCTTGTACGCTGGTTCGGTTTTTGTTCATCTTTATGAGGCATTACGAAAATGTTCTCAAAAATACCCACTACAACAACTACATTTTACCTCCGTGAAGGGCTCAATGTAACAAAAATTGAACTCTCCTTATCACGACCCCTAACTAAAGTGATGCTTCTTTCCTGTGGCTTGAAAAGTACCGTTATTTTGTCATATATTAGAAATAACACGGAATCAACCACCCTTTGACAGGCTGTAAGGCCATGCGCCCTAGGCAAAAAATTCAGATCCCTTTCAGCCCTGGTATTCCGACTACGACCTGTTTTTCTTCATTCCTTAATATCGAGACACATTACGCCCCTCCCAAACTCTTTGGAAATCTTGTGTTTAGTGAATAGTCTGTCTCTGGTCTTCTTAGAGTGACGGACGAGTGCTTATATCCTCAAAGAAGAAAGATGACAAATGGCGAGAGCCCCATAACTCTGTGAAGTGTTCACCGCCTATTCCATGGTGGACCAATTTCGGAAACTGGTCTCAAATTCGCTCCACACACTTACCGGCTGGTCGCAGAAAAGGCGCGGCTTTAGTCTACTAATTCCATGCTACTGATTTTGGCCTTCGTTTAGTTCCCCATCGCCCTGTTTGAATCCTATATGATCAACGTCTATTCCAGGAAAACCAAGCCATTCGTGGCTTACAATTCAGTGGAGTTTTCTCATTATCCACGTGCCTCATGTTTATACCCAGATCGTGTTCTTTCAACTCCGCCAGAACCATCCCTTTGACCCCTACCAAAGACCGAGGAATTCGCTATCTTATCACACAGTCAGGACTTGACACCTGAGTTTGAGGCACCCGTAGCTCTCTTCAATCTAAAAAAGAAGCGGGAAACAGTTTGCTTCCCGAGCCAAACCAAACGTGTTTCCGAAACGCAGCATGAATTCTCCTTTTCCTTCCTCCTACATCATCGCTCTTACTGTCTGATGATAGGGTTTCTGTTGAGCGATGAAAGCTCTTCACTGTCTCTCTACATTTAGGAAAGCTTTTCTCCCTGCCAATATGTGTGAATAACCGCAAACCGTTTGTATTAAGAATTGATTTTATCTAAATTATATGACTCCTAAAGTCATGACTGCAAGTGACCACCCTGTTCATGGTTTATGTCTCATGTGACTTCTCTCAGGTTCATACATTTCCAAACTCTTGATATCAGTGGATTTCCACTTCACTTTTAGATGCCGAAATGGCTATTTTAATCTTTTCCAATCGAAATTTTTCCCTCCAAGTAGAGTTACCGTATGTTGGGAAGTCTCTTTTGTGAACCGATAGTAGTACGCATCTCACAAAAATCTAGAGATTCCCAAGCAGGCAGCATTTCCGCAAGTATGCTGACCATTTGACTAATAGGGCACGAGCGGTTGAGCAACAATTTAACATTCTGAGATACCCCTTTGCCTTTGGTTTGGGTGAATGTCCACAATGCGTGCATAGTTGTCACTGCTCCCTCGAAAGACGTGATTTTTCATTGACATGGTTTTCCTTCCGTTTGGTCTACACAAGGTCTTCCATAGAAATCATAGGCCGAAACAATGGACCCGGTGACGGATGTTCAGCTTCTGTTTGCATTACCAGACTACTAAGTTCAGCTCTGTCTTGCTGACTCCATGTATTTATATGTTCTTCAATGCCTGTATGCAGTCACATTGACATTTTTCGTAAATTTTTCTCTTTACCTTATTATTCTTTTACTATCTTCACTAGCTCTATAAAACTGTTTGAGTACGGTAGTATCCTCTTGACGAATGTGACAGTGGTACACCGGCAAGTCCCGTTTAACCATGTTAACAAGAGCGTTATATTTAACACCCATTTTGTCCATATTGAAATTGCGGTCAGTGGGACAAACCTTGATATTCTCTTCATTTTTTCTAATTATTTTACACAGAAGCTTTAAGACTTGACAAAGAGTGCATTTTTTAAAATAAGAGGCGGCATTGTCGGAAGTGTGTCCAAACTACTGGGCAATTACTGAACGAGAAGCTGAATCATTTCAGCAGACAAAAGATGCCAGACTTGGTCTACCACTCCAAGATTTTGTTCACACAACCGTGACGTGAACATTGTAGTGCCATTTCACAGAATGCGGCCGCAACTGTGGTCAGTCATTGTTCACTAAGTAGCTCTAGATTCACGAACGCCTCGACGTCATCAAATTAGTCTGAAAGTAGACTAATGCAGTTGCCTCGGAATTACCTACGGCGCCTTGCTTAAACATTGTCAACTACTTTGTCGGAATTGTTGTGCGCGCCAATATCAACAGATTTCCGGGAAAGGACTGCGGTCATCAGATAGTTTTTGTTCCCATCTAGTCACATTCTCTCTAAGTATCCTTGCAAATAATTCAGGTAAAAGATTTTTTCTGGACGGCGTCTGATACATCGTCTTGTCTCCTGCATTTAAGCATCGGACTTTACCTCAGGAAACTTCCACTATAAACCTTCACTATGTGCCTATTTGCAAGAGGAACAACGTAAGAATTGTTTTCTGATATCTCGCCCAAAAGGTGGGCTCAGACTGTACTATTTTGGCCGAGATTTTAGGACTCATATGCGCATAGATTTTTGTCCTCATGGAGCGTCTCGGCTTTCCTGGATTCCCCCAGCTTCACTATTACAGAATTGGTTGTCGTTTCTGGTTTTCTTTTACATTGCTCATCTCTATCCCGGGAAAGATTTCTGCGCCTAAAACTCTACTAGAAACAACGAATAGAGAAAACTTTACCTTGCTTTATTTTTGTTTTGTCCGTGTTCTAGTTCCACTACTCGATCGAAAAATGCTGTTACTTCCATTGCTTCGGTGACTGGCCTAAACCGGAACCTCTATTTCATCTGTTTCTTTGGCTTTATTGAGCTATTTTGCCGACCATTCCCCTCTCTAAAATGAAACATCGATAGGCTGGATTCACCTAATAATCCACCGGCTGCGAGTGTGACTGCGGGGTGGTTCGACATATGGCGGATCTGGTATCGCCTAACAGAAATATAGGAAGAGTGCTGCAAGGAAATTGAAGTGTTGCATTGAACGGAGGTATATATGCCACCACTTAGTAGCAAGGATAATTCCATCGCGTGCATTTGGGTAGCGGTTTTGCCGTTTATTCAGCAACTCTATATTGAAGGAGCAGCTGGCTTGGTTTTTATCCTCTTAGCTATAGACTGTTCTGGTAATACTTTAAATATGCACCAAAAAGGGTCACGAATTTACTGTCGGAAGTGTGTCCAAACTACTGGGCAATCACTGAACGAGAAGCTGAATCATTTCAGCAGACAAAAGATGCCAGACTTGGTCTACCACTCCAAGATTTTGTTCACACAACCGTGACGTGAACATTGTAGTGCCATTTCACAGAATGCGGCCGCAACTGTGGTCAGTCATTGTTCACTAAGTAGCTCTAGATTCACGAACGCCTCGACGTCATCAAATTAGTCTGAAAGTAGACTAATGCAGTTGCCTCGGAATTACCTACGGCGCCTTGCTTAAACATTGTCAACTACTTTGTCGGAATTGTTGTGCGCGCCAATATCAACAGATTTCCGGGAAAGGACTGCGGTCATCAGATAGTTTTTGTTCCCATCTAGTCACATTCTCTCTAAGTATCCTTGCAAATAATTCAGGTAAAAGATTTTTTCTGGACGGCGTCTGATACATCGTCTTGTCTCCTGCATTTAAGCATCGGACTTTACCTCAGGAAACTTCCACTACAAACCTTCACTATGTGCCTATTTGCAAGAGGAACAACGTAAGAATTGTTTTCTGATATCTCGCCCAAAAGGTGGGCTCAGACTGTACTATTTTGGCCGAGATTTTAGGACTCATATGCGCATAGATTGTTGTCCTCATGGAGCGTCTCGGCTTTCCTGGATTCCCCCAGCTTCACTATTACAGAATTGGTTGTCGTTTCTGGTTTTCTTTTACATTGCTCATCTCTATCCCGGGAAAGATTTCTGCGCCTAAAACTCTACTAGAAACAACGAATAGAGAAAACTTTACCTTGCTTTATTTTTGTTTTGTCCGTGTTCTAGTTCCACTACTCGATCGAAAAATGCTGTTACTTCCATTGCTTCGGTGACTGGCCTAAACCGGAACCTCTATTTCATCTGTTTCTTTGGCTTTATTGAGCTATTTTGCCGACCATTCCCCTCTCTAAAATGAAACATCTACAGGCTGGATTCACCTAATAATCCACCGGCTGCGAGTGTGACTGCGGGGTGGTTCGACATATGGCGGATCTGGTATCGCCTAACAGAAATATAGGAAGAGTGCTGCAAGGAAATTGAAGTGTTGCATTGAACGGAGGTATATATGCCACCACTTAGTAGCAAGGATAATTCCATCGCGTGCATTTGGGTAGCGGTTTTGCCGTTTATTCAGCAACTCCATATTGAAGGAGCAGCTTGGTTTTTATCCTCTTAGCTATAGACTGTTCTGGTAATACTTTAAATATGCACCAAAAAGGGTCACGAATTTACGGATTGATACACAGGATCTGCTTGCCATGGATTCGCATAATTAAATGTCTAATAGTGCTTTAAACTGGGTTCTAGAGGGAGCGTGGACAACCATCGCAGCTACTACCCTACCCGCAGCTTCTACCCGAATGTGTGTGCTCTGAGCTTGAAAATCTTTTTACTATGTCCCCGCCGGGTGTTTGCTAGGTCAGCGGTGAAAAACCCGTCTGCCAACCTTTGTTCAAACAGGGCATGAGTAAGAATTACGTCCCCTCGGAGGCGACGGTACTCCAGAAGAAAGAGATCAAGCATCGCAAGACGCGTTTCGTAGTTCACGGATTTGAGGCCGGCAACCATTCTCGTAGCGGCTCGCTGGACACGCTCAATGAGGGCGACGTCTTTCGTGCGTCCTGAGTAGACAACTTGGTTGGCGTACTCCAGGAGCGGTCTGACGTAGGCCC